AGCTTCTTAGTGCAGTGCTTTAACCCACTGCACCACCAGGGAGGGCCAAAAATGTGAATTTTTTTCATAAATTATCTTTTTTAGATAGTGGGTTTTGTATTTTACCACTTGCATTTTGATATGCCAATAGGTCAGATAAAATGCACTAGGAAGATAGTCTCACTTGATTATCAATATCTGTAACCAAATTTTATATTGTGATTGGGATTTTGAGGGAGGGCATATAAATTAAAATCTTATGTTTATTCAACATCTGAGTATTCTGTTATTGTTTAGCAGTATAAACTATTTTCTTACAGAAACAGTAAGTTAACCTAAAGTAAACTATAATGAATTTTTTATAGTCTTTTTATTTCCTATATTACAGACCAATTGAATTTTCAGAAGCTGATTACCCACAAGTTCACTATCAAAGGAGACAGCAATTTTGGGACCCTATAAGGCTAGCTCTTTTCACACTGGCAATTGTAGCAATCATAGGAATTGCAATTGGTATTGTTACTCATTTTGTTGTGGAGGGTAAGTATCCAGGTCACATTCTATTGCCTCAGTGATACATGTAAATATCTGGAAATTCTGTTGTATAAAAAAAATCATTTGCATGATATTAACATTTTAATTACTAATGTCATATTGAAGTCAAATTATAGTTTGCTCGGTAATAAACCCTGCTTGCATCTTTCCAGTGAGTAAAACTTGCTGGATAGACTTATTACATGGACAAACATATCAAAAAAATGTTTAAAATGAAAAAGAAGAATAAAAAGATTATTTTAAGAACAGAGGGAATGAAGCACAATGGAGTATAGTGGTGGACTAGTAGGAAGCTGCTTCTTTTTCCAGATACTGATAAGGGACTGACTTGCACACTGGCAGCAACTGAGTGTGTGAATGAACAGTGAATCTTTAAAATTGATTGTTATATTGTTAGAACCTATTCACTAATTAATATCAGATCATAGATTTCTCTAAGATTTAGTATTGGGAAATTGTAGTAATTACATTTAAGATAGAAAATCTAAATGGGACTTCTTCCTTAACAGACTGTCATTTAGTTTTGGTTAGCTGTTATCTAGGGGGTTGATGAGGACCTGAGTTAAGAGTACCTTTTCTAGGTGAGATAAAGAATTAGAAATATTAATGGGCTGCTATCCATTAAACCTAAAGACTGAAAGACTCAATGTTGGAAATGAGAATGAAGTATAGCTTTGGGGGTACTGTGTGGATGGCGGGGCTATTTTTGAAGATAGAAAATATAGGAAGTAGGAAGGACTTGAGGACAGAAATAGGTAAATGACTATGTCCCTTGGGAAGTGTTTTTCATATTTATCAAGACATATTTACTTTAAATCTATTTAATGGTTAAGGTACCTACTAATACATCCAACAAATAGTCACCCATAGACAGTTTATAGAGAATTGAAACTCATGATAGAGATGTAGTCAGAAGATAAAAAGTTCAGAGTCAGCAATTATTAAAGTTCCAGGAAGTTCATTGTACTGACACGGCTCTAATGCCTTGTCAGCTTGCACACACCAGTCAAAATCTAAATTAGACACACAGACACAAAAGAAACTAGACACAGTGTAGTTGTATACAGGAAATGAGACTTAAGAACCAATGACAAGCAGCAGACAAGGCTGACCCACATAAGGTAACTACTTACTCAATTTTCTTGCCTTTGTTTCCCTGTCTTTTCTGTAAAAATCTTGATTGGTTCCTACTGGATAAGGGCTCTAGCTACTTTTGATTTGTTGCTACCAGATTCGAATCAATGTGTGTGCCAATAAAATCTTGAAATTTTAAATAATTTTCAGTTTATCTTTTCATATCAACAAATAGTTGATGGCTGAGGCTACCACAGTTAGGATCATCCAGGAGTTATTTATTCATTCTAAATTCTTAAATATCTTTTGTTAATACATATTTAAAACCAACATAAAAGTAGTACAATGAACCTCCATGTATTTCTCACCCAGTTTCAAAATAGTCATGTTTCATTTATTTTTCCATCTGAAATAATATGTATTTTTTGAAGTTTGTGATTCGCTTTGTGATTTCACAGGAATAATCCAAACATAAAGATATAAGAATGAAACCATACATAAAACCATAGAGATTTAATGATATAGAAGTTACCCACTTCTTGCCTCATCTTACTTTATTAAATTTATATCCTGCAATAAGTCTTTTTTATAATCAAAGAACAAAATGTTATTGTTCCCAAAATGTGTGTTAATTTTAGCTTCAATGCACTTAAATAAACTGAACTTGTTGAACTATACGTGTATTCCTGGTGGTATTCAACTGGAGAGAATTTGCAGAAATGGAGGTTCTATCAAGACATGAGTAAAGCCCTGCTTATGTTGGACAGGGCCCTTAACTCAGTAACTGTGTGCACATCTGAGACCTGCATCTCTAGTAGCACATGCTAATATTTCATGGGAACCCTTCAGTTTTATAACAAGCTGTAATGGTGGGTTATTTTGTGTGTGGATATTACTGTTAAATATAGGGACTGTTTCCAGCACAGAATATGAATCATAAGTTAATATGGACATTAGATGTGATTGAGATGACAACAAGGGTCCTGGGTCTCAGGTCTACAAATGGGTGCTAATGAATTAAACAGTAGGCAGGTTATTTGACACGTGTACTGCCTAATCTTGTTAGGAAAATTCCTTGACTTCCAAGTCTTAAAATGCCCGCATGAAGACTACGGTCAATTCATTCACATAGTTCTCTGGACAATGGACCTCTAAAAAAGAAAATGTCTGCTCTGGAGCAGGATATCAGGATTTGCTAGTGAGCATAGCATACCTATGCACAGCAGGAGCCTAGGCCTCAGAACCTCAGCTATTTGGGGAAAGCTTTGCATCAGTTATTGGGTTTTTTGGTCAAGTTTCCCCAACTTCTTTAAAAGGTTTCCCAGTTCAACTCCTTGCATTTTACTTTGGCAATTCCCTGCCTGAAGCTGCTTTCTGTTCTTCACCCAGTTTTCCTAGTAGAGGAACAGAATATATCCTCTGCTTTAAGGAGGTAGAAGTATACACTTATTTTTTACTGTGATTTGTTCAGGGTCATATTTTACAAAATGTCTTGTTTTCCTTATTAGTGTCTATGGAAAACAAAATTCAAAGTGGGTTGTGTTTGAATATAGAATAGATTTTGAAATTAGTGCTTACTTTGAAAAAATCTGAATTTAATTCAAATAACATCAAAAACATCAGAAGTAAGACAATATTCAGAGATGGCTGTTTCGATCAGATGGCTTAGAGAAATTTCTGGGATATTCATATTTGAAATTCTTTATTAATCAATGTCTTTGAATTAAGTCTAACTGAAAACTGCAACATTATTCTTTGTACATATTCATTATATTATGTTAACAAGCTTAGTTGCAAACAAGTGAACTACTTAAGCTTCTGGTTTACCATGCCTTTTCAATGCTGTGATGTTTATGAATTCAAATAACTTGAGTGAGTCTATTATAACTTTTTTTCAGTTCAACACTCATTTATAGACTTATAAAAAAGCTTAACTTTTAATTATTAAAGAACAATTTTACTTCATGAGAGAAAGAAGAAAGTTGTTCCATAGTAAGACTATTTCCTGTGATGTGACAGGAAATGACTTACTTAAGTATGGGTCTTTTGTTTATGTTTACCTTTCAGATGATAAGTCATTCTATTATCTTGCCTCTTTTAAAGTAACAAATATAAAATATAAAGAAAATTATGGTGTGAGACCCTCAAGAGAATTTACAGAAAGGAGTCATCAAATTGAGAGAATGGTAAGCCCAATAGAATTTCTTTAAAGTTTATTAATGTTTTTCAGCTTTATTTTGAATGTGATTGTTACAGGAATTTAGCTTCTCTGTACCTCAACATCTATAAAATGAGAATATACTATGTAGATCATGTAAAAGAAAGAATAATTTCATGTGTAATTAAATGTATATAGATTAGAGGAGGCAACTGATTAATACCTAAGGAAACTGTTGAAACAGATATTCTTATTTAACACTTAGGTTGTTTTTTAATGACTGTAAAAGGATATAAAGACACATATAAGTATATTGTCTTTAATTTTTTATATAACATCAAATTATGTTCCTCAAATATTTTGGTTCCTCAAATATTTTGGTTCCCCTTAAAAGCATGAATTTATTAATACAGTTCTAACTTTTAAAGTATATTAGGCAAGCTAAACCTTTACCTACCATAGCTGAAATTCCACCAAAACAGTCTTCATTTTCTGTTCATTAAAAGCATGTATGTGGGTGGAGAGGAGAATAGATCAAAGCTGGGTGGGAAGCGTGCATGGGACTATGGTGACGACACATGGGTGAATTGAATTGGTGGTGGGAAGTACATGGGGATTACACTGAGGTGAAAAAATGCACAGAATGAAGAACATATTTCTTAATTAAAATATGAAGACTTAGTACTCCAATCATTTATTCACTCTGCTCTCCATTTTCTGACTTCTTTACAACTTGGAAAAGAAATTAAAATCTATTCAGCTATCAATAGTTATCACTTTATGGGTTAATTTTCAATATTGAAAAACAATAAGCAGTATTTTCATTTCCACAGCTGTTTAAATAACATTTGTCATTTATCAGAAGTGTTCTGCAATTATATTGCCACAATCCTAAATGTGGTTCAAAGAACAATTCCAAACTTCTGCTGTTTTACTGTGTCTTTGGATACGTCCAAGGTCTCAATGTATTTTTCTTTCTTAATTCTCTTTATCAAATTTTATGATTTCTGCTTCAACTTCAACTGGTTGCTTTCTAGGTCCACTTCAGGGAGGTAACCTGGGTGAGGACAGGACTACTTTAGTATGTGAAATCCATTGCTTCTTGCATCCCATGTTTTCCATACTATGGTACATTATGTTCTTAGTATCTTCCTTAAAAAAGTGCATGGGAGATGAAAGTCCTTCATTCTAATTCAATTCAATTGATAGTTTGAATACAGACATTTAAACTGAAGCTCATTTTCCTTCAGATCATCTCAAGGTCTTACTTGCTTTCATGTAGCTGTTAAGAAAACATGCTGCTTATTGGGTGATCTTGTCACTTTCTAGAATCTTTTGTACTTCTTTCTTTTTTCTCCATTTCTAAAGTTCCTTAATGATATATCTTGGTATTCTTTTCTCTATTTTTGTTGGAATATTAAACTTTAAATGGTATATGAAATATCTTAAGGGACAATTATAAAGCAAATATCTAATAACCCACCATCTGATTTCAGAAATAGAATTTTACCATTACCAGAAACCTCTATATGTTCTCTTCTCTTCTTCAGAGGAAAACAGCTACTTTGTACTTGAATTTTTCTATTGTTTTATTACCCCCAAATAGTTTATGGTGAAATTTTGTATCCCTTAGACTCTGTAAATGGAACACATTATATCCTTCTATACCTACATTCCTCAACACTGTGCTTTCAATGTAGTTCCATGTGATCCACGTGGCAGTAAGTTTATTTTTGCTTCTGTGTAGAATGACCCATAAAAAAATAGCCTGCTAGATATTTATTCATTTTCTGGTTGGCAGGTATATGGAGTGCTTTCACTTTTGATAGCTATGAATAATGCAGCTAATTAATATCCTTACAGCTTAGTACATGTCTTCCTAGTGCACGTAGAAGAGTATGTCTAGGTTATAAGTCGGTTGAGTCCTAGAAGATGATAAGACTCAGCTTTAGCAAATTTTAACCAATAGCTTTCCACTGGGATTGTAGGCATTAGCATTACTACCAGAAGGAGTTTAATGTTAGCCCTACTCTCTCATCAAAATTTTCTACAAATTGACTTCTTCCCCATGTGTTTAATTATACAGCATTATGGATAAAATTTGCACTTTCCTGATTATTAAGGTTCATTGATGGTTATCAACCATTCACATATTATACTTTATAAATTTGTACACTCATTTTCACCTACTTATTACATTTTTTGTCTTTTTAAAGTTTATTCCTAAAAACATATTTTTTTTCAGGAAGTGAATTCTCTGTACATGGTATAATTAAAAATATTTTTTCTAATTTGTGGTTTCCATTTTCATTTTGCTTTATAAAATATTTCAATGAACTTAGGTTCTTAATATAATTAGCTAATGCATCATTCCTTTCTATTGCTACTAGCGTCCTCGTACGGTACAAGAAATCCTTTCTGACCCGGATGCCACTGTCTCTTAAAAATTATGTTTTTCCTTTATGCATTTAAGCCATTGTCCTATAGGGAACTGGTATTTGTATTTATGTTTGATTTAGGTATTTTAAGTTTTTCCCCCTCCATGAATAAGCAGTTCTCTTAGCACCACTGAACAGTCAGATCTTTCTAGGCTAGCCTGCCAGGAGAACTTGACACCAAATCAAATTTCAATGTATGAACTGGGATGATGTTGCTGGGTTCTCTAGTCTGTTCCAAAGAGCAACTTGGTTTTCATGTGCCAATACCATAATGTCTCAACTTTACAGTCTGACTCTCTTCTTGACTGAGTAGCCTTGATCCTTTGTGTGTGGAGCCATGTGGGCCAGCTCCCAGCCTGGGATAGAACTCATACCCCAGTGGTAGATGACAGCTTTGTAGCACTAAGACTTTAACCCGTGAGCCAACAGGGAGCCCCAAAATTTTTTAAGTGATTTAATCATGTGCAGTTTGGCTGACACTGTCTCAAACCAAAATACTTGCTGACAATATTGACACTTTCCCCCCTAATAATGTTTATGTTTCTCTGTATCCAACTGATTTTAGAGTTGGTTTTGTTAGTTTGCTCAGGCAGGCAGAACAAATACACTAACCAGTTTTGAATTTGAACTGCAAATATTGTTCAACTGGAGTATGTTTTTTTATATTATTTGTAAAGATAATCGGTTGACCTCAGATGAATGGCTATCACTGATACAACTAGGCTCTGTAGGAAGTTTATAAGACAGAAAAGTGGGTGGCCATTGGTGTGTAATTCACAAAAAGCAAGAGAAAGTTTTTCACTGCAAAATAAAATAAGTTTAAAAAGTGACAGTTTTCTATAATACCACTTTTTATTGTGACCTTTATGTTCTAAAGTTGTAACAACTAAATTTGAAGTATTTAAAATTTCCCCCTATTTTAAGGAAACTATACTATTTAACATACAATGAAAAGTTCATTGTTGAAAACAGGTTATTACCTCTAATAGCTTCAATTTATTAACTCTTTCCTTGGTTACATACTTAAAAAAATCCACACTTTCAAATTGAAAAATATCTTCCAAGGAATGGACTCCATAACACAAATACTTAGCAGAGCATTCTCTAGCCCCAGTTATGGATGGTTTATTATAACATAGATCAGATCACAAGAAGTAGAATCTGTGAAGGTTGTTATTGATGAAGCGGGTTTATTATCAACAGTTTTTATACACACAAATGTAAGGAAGTGAGAGTAAGAGGGAAGGACAAAACTAGACAAAAGTGTGGTTTCATAATTGCAGTCCCTGTCTTATTTCTCTGGGAGATGTAGAGTCTAAATTACATCACAGAGATAGTTCTGCCCCGAGTTAAGAGGGCTGGATTGTTTGTGTTACATCCACAAGAGTATCTTAGGGAAGGTGGCGCGTAGGCTCCCAGACAGCACTGGGTGAGTGTTCAGGTCAGAGCAGGGCAGGCCTCAGAAGTGTATATGTGAGGTATTACCAATCAGCACCTACAGAAACTGGAGCTAGGCACAGCTGCCCAGAATATGCAGTTTCAGTAAGGAAAAAATACCTGGTACAATTCTCTTTCATCACAACTCATCATCATTTAAGTGAATTCAGTTTAAGAAAAAAAAAAAAAGAAGAAGAACAATTTTACTTGCTGGTGGTGATTATAGGTAAAAACTGTTTATTGGTTTAGGCCTCCTGATTATCTGAGGCATGATCATCACTCTGCTGCCCTTTCTTTCATTGCTCTGTAAATTGTCTTATTCGTTCCATAATAAATGGAATACTCCTGGTACAAAGTCACAATTTTAGTTAAATATGAGAGAAGGGAAGGAAAGAAAGGAGGGAGGAGGGCGAAAGTTATGGAGGGAAGAGTTTGTCAGGCTGTGAGAAATTCCAAGTTTACATAGCCCTGTTCTTCTTTATTTGGGGTTTATAGTATGGTTTACATATAGATATGAGTATGGAAAAGAATATTAACTGAACATTTATGTAATAAGATGATTTGACAACAGGAGAGCTGCCACAGTGCAGAATATGATTGTCAAATGTATGGATCAAACCATTAATATTTTAGGAGTTCATGGGAAGGAAAAATCCCTTTGAGAAGCAAAACGTTTTCATGGAGAGAGAATGGATAAGGAATTTGCTTTGTTGGTATAGTTGCCTTCTGCTGGTGCATGTTTCCTTGACAGTAGCAGAAAATCTACATAAGTTGCCTGACTTATTTTCACAGGTGGATCTAGAAATTGATTCCCTAGTTGGCTTCCAGTAACTACTTACTTTCCATGAGGACTTAATCTGAATGCAGCTGCCAGCCACAGGGAGGTGCAAGCTCAAACTTGTCAAAGAGAGTAACTGGATACACCATTATTAGAGAGAGCTATGCATTTTCTTTTCACCTTTTTTTTTTTTTAACATTGAAGTTCAAATCAAGGACAATTGCTATCTAATTTTAAGGTGAACTAGTTTTTCTATCTTAACATGAACAGAGAAATTATCTTGTCTTAAGTAGAATAATCTCTAATAAAATAATCTATTCTTAATTTTGGTCTATAAAAGAGAAGGCTATGATTACTTTAATAATTTGGGCTGAATTTATATTACTGAGATACTGAATATCTCAGGAAATATAAGATAATCTTCTTCAGAAATTGCTCATAACAATAGTTAGATGTTAAAAAGGAAAAAGTTTCCCTCGTCCTGTTAAACTAAGGAGCAGGAAAATAAAGCAACCTCATAAGAGGATATGTTTATCAAGGTTACTTAGATTTAGAAATTAAATGATCTATTTAAGGCATTTAAGAATTTTCTGACCACACCACCCTGATCTGTCATAAAGTAGATAAGTAACTCAAGATTGTCAGTGTGAGATACATTGTCATTCATATATTTAGACAAAAGATATGAAACCAAATTCCTGAGTTCATACACCAGGACCATCACTTCTCATGTCACCTTAAGTTTACTTAACTATCCTGAACCCCAGTTTCTCATCTGTAAAGTGAGATTGGTAAGAATAGCATTTTCCTTGTTAAGGTGGTATGAGGTTTAAGCAAATTAATTTGGTTCAATGCCAGCCATGTAGTATGAACTTGATCCATGTTAGTTATAATTAGTGGGTGAACCAAGACTGTGCTGTACCACATAACCTACCCATTTTTAAATAGAGACTGATACCTTATGATACCAAGGTATCATTAAAATCATATCTTAGTTTGAAAGCATTCTTGTATTTAATTTCTTATACTCAAATATGGCAGACTCCTGGTCCTTTTCCAAAGTGGCTTTCTATATACAGTTAAGACATTCAGAGACCATTTTTATAATAATACCAGAGCTCAAGAGCATAAAGAGATACTATCTCATATCTACCACAACAGCCTATATCAAAAACTCCAGAAACACTAAGTGCTGATGAGGATTTGGGGAAGAAGGTACTCTTGTACACTCTAGTGGGTGTGTAAACTGGTTCAATACCTATGGAAAACAATATGGAGATTCCTCAAAATATTAAGAAAAAAATCAGCCTACTCTATGAACCAGCAAGTCCATATTTAGGTTATCTACTCAGAGAATATAAAAATACTAATTTGAAGGGATGTATGAACTCCTATGTTCACTACAGATCTACTTATAAGAGCTAAGTCATGGAAAGAGCCGAAGGGCTTAAAGACAGCGGAGTGAATCAGAAACATGTGGTGTATGTAATGAAATATTACATCATTACAAGATGATCTCTTGTCATTTATGACCACACTGAGTGAACTGGAGAAGAGCTTTAAGTGAGATAAGTCAGAAGTCAAATATTGGGTAGTTTCACTTATATGTGTAATTTAGAGAAATAAACAATCAGTTAAAAATAAACCAGTGATGGACCCTTCACATCTAACTGCAAAATAGAGGTAACCAGAAGGATATGGTGGCACGGTGGGAATAGGGGAAAGAGTGTGCCCAATGGAATATGGTTGAGAATTATTGGGACACTTGTATTGGGAAGTTATGAAAACTTATTTGTAGAGGTTTAAAACTATAGCCCCCAAAGCAGCTACAATGCTGTCAACCAACTTTACTCAATAAATATACCTCAACAAACATAAAAATAAAGGGTGGAAAATAAACTTTTAAATACTACCCTAATACAAATTATACAGATATACCCATGCAACAATAAGAAAATAAAACAAAATACAGAGACATCAAAATCTGATTATTTTTTCTTGTCCCCTGAGAGATGGAACTGACTGAGTTCAAGTACGCTTAACAAAATCAGTCATAAATGTTTTAACTCATTTAAGTGAGCCAAACCCATTGTTTGACCTGGCATGGAAGTGAGGCAACCACTGGGTTTCCTTCGTCCTACCTTGTTTACACTGGCATGGTTCCCCCATAAAACAATGTGTTTTATCTCTTTCTTTTACTATATTGTTGATTATTCATTTACTCATTTGATCATGGATATATTCATCAAATATGCATTAAATGTTTACTGTAAGCCAGGCAGTGTATCAAATATAGAAGATACAGAGTTGAATAAGATACACTCACTGCTAACATACAGCTCATAGTCTAGGGTGCAAAAGACACAGTTCTAAATTCATGTGATAACTCGAAAATAGAATCATGTGTCAGATGCTGGGAGACTCAAAGAAGAGTTCAATTTGAGGAAAGGAAGTCAAAGATAATTTGTTAGTGGTATTTCTGAAAAATGACAGTTTCACTGAAGAATTTTGCCTGAGGAAAAGGAGGTATTCTAAGAAGAGGGAAATGACTGTGTGGAGTCATGAAGGTGTGAACCAATGTAGTGGGATTAGGAAAATGTAGATGGTTCAGTCCGTAAGGAAATGTTTTGAAGGTGCAGGTGAGGCAGGGCTAACAGAGTAGCAATATTGTGGAATTCAAACTGAAGGAGGTATGCTAGAAGATAAACTGGAGTCTAAAGTATCTACATTTGTAGGTTTGGGATTCATCATGGTTGCTAGCATTTTGGGGAACAGCTGAGAGGAGGAAAGATAAAGCAGGATAGAACTGGGATTTTGGGAGCAGGCCTGGAGTTCTTTCTCTTGGTTCTTGTCTTTGGCGAAGAAATAATTCAATGGGAGACCAAAGTTACAGAAAAGCAAGAGATTTATTGACAGATAAGAGGAAGAACAGGAGATCTCTCTGAGTATGGAGGTGTCCCAAATGGGTAGCTACTGAGGGGGTGAAAAGCAGTTCATATAGGTATAATGGGCAGGGAATGGGGGTTGGGCTGTTGGGTGTTTCCACATTGTGTCTCTGACAAACTAGCTAGGTCTGGCAGGCCTTCCAGGTCCAAGGTCCACAGTCTTCCCGTATTACCTGACCTACTTTTTTGGAACCAGCTATGGATTATTACTATTGTGTTATTGTGTTGGTGTTCTGAACATTTCATTTTTTAAAAAAGATTTATTTATTTATGCATACAGAACTGGGGTACAGGCCAGAGGTGCAGGGGCGGTGAGAGGACTCACCAGAGACAGAGTGGGGAACAGAACAGTCTGACTGAGGAAGTACACTGCTGAGGGGACTGAGGAAGTACACTGTTGAGGGGACTGAGGAAGTACACTGCTGAGGGAAACAGCGGGTGGGTCAGGAGAGGTCTGCTGAGCCATGTGGATCACATCTGGGGCGGGACCAAACTCATGCCAAAGTGGCCTTAGCTTCTTAGTGCTGTGCTTTAACCCACTGTGCCTCCAGGGAGGGCCTGAATATATTATTTTTAATTGATTTGGTGGGGGTACTGTCCAGGTCTATCATTATTCTCCAATCAGAATGATAAATGGGCCTCTTCAACCGGGACTTGGAATAAGTCCCTCCTGGTTCCCAATGATTGTTTCTAAATGAGATTGATAAATGAACTTAGCATACCCTCCTCATACCCACTGATTGTTCAGATTAATGAATGGGTTTTGGGCACCCAGTTAGTTCCTCACTGCCTATCCCCACTTTCTAACTTCCTCATTCAGAACCACATAATTTATCAGTGAGAGGACTGCTACAAAAGCTTAGGCACACTATACAAGATTAGTTGTCCATAATGTGTAATTGCATTTCTGGGCTCTCAATTATTCCAACAGTCCGAATGTTTGTTTCTGTTTTAGTGCTGTATTTTTTTAAATTATTATGATTTTATAGTATACAGTCTGTAAACATGATACTTATATTTTTTTCCCTTTTCATCTTTTGTCATTTATTATAAATTTCAGTAATATTTGTTCTATTTCTTTGAAAAATGCCTTTGGTCTTGGGAAAATTTGGATTGCCACATGCAAACAGAAAAAAAAATTGATTTTAGACCATGGTGGTGGGATTGAAGAAGGGATGTAGATTTAATATCTGGGAGCTAAACTCTATGACCATTGTTGTTAGTTTAGAGCAGTCAGGCAGGAGGGATCTTGCAGAAAGGGAGGCGATCTTCTCTTTTCCTCAAATATGTAGTCATTGTAGAGCAAAATTTACCACAGAAGTGGGACATAGGTAATTTATATGGACCTGTAATTTCTGATTTCAGAAACTCAGCTCAGTGCTTTTGGATACAAAATTCAATGCCTCAGCAGACATCTTTAACAAGTCAGTTCACTGATCATCCAAAAATCCTTCAACTGACTAGGCTGGAAATGCTAATAAAACGCTTATGTATGGAATGTGGTGAAACATATTCCAGGTTCCAGTTGTGAAAGTCCACCTGCCACAGAAAGGTGGCTACAAGGTGTCAGTATCATATGACAGAGGTTGTTATGTAGAATACTCTAGTAATGGGATAACAATAAACAAATTGACATTAATACTGTCATATCTGAGAATAAGGCAAAATAAGGCTGGATGTGAAGCTGCCATGTTTAAAGAGCTGGGAGAATACGATACTTCCAAAATACCAACAATAATGTAAACCAATGTTACCTCAATTAAAAAAAAATTAATTAAAACCCCCCACATATAATTTGACCACAACCATATTGAATATTATTAGTAGCTTGCTATATGCCAGGTGAGGTGTGAAATGTGTGATATATTATTTCATTTTATCCTTAAAATAACATCTATGAGGTAAATATTATTTTATTCCATTTTAAAAAGGTTTAGAAAAATTTGAACAACTTTGTTGTTTAGTTTTCAAGGACCAGAACTTAATTTAGACTTGCCAGGTGTGCATAAACCATTTCACATGCTAGGAATAAACTAAAATCCTTGTCTTTACTCAGCTCTCTAGATAAGATGAGGATAACATTTTTTCTTAAGACTAATGCTTCTTATTTTTAATTTTTCTAATCAGATGTCTAGGATATTTCGACGTGATAATACCGGAGGGGGTCGGTTTATCAAATCACATGTTGTCAGAATAAGGTATGGAAACTCGGTTTGCAACATCAAGCCATTATCATTAAGAACAATTGATCAACACAACCACTCATCTCCACTAGTAAACCTTTGCACGAATACAAAGATATTATAAATCCTGAGCAGCCCAGTTTATAACGCCTAACTATTCCCAGTTTATAACGCCTAATTATTCCCCAGTATTCTTTTAAAACAGAAAGATGTAAAGTGCTTTACAATAAGAGACAGTGTTGCCTACTAGATTTAAAACAAGGTATTTCCAAGAGAAGAGAGGGAAGGGAGAGAGAGTGTTGTTGCTTATATAATTTGCTCCTTAAACCAGGGGCCAAGGGAAATTTAGATCAGATCTTTTTGATAGTCCTCATTCTAAAAGCACCCAACAATCAGACTATTACTTTCTCTGCAGTATTATTTTCCCTTAATGTTATTGTATTTTATTACCATTTTGATGTTTGTTTAGCTTTATGCTCTAAGAAAAGACAATATACGTTATGTGAATATACTAGTTGCCAGAGACTAGAATAAATTACTAGAATACATTCATTTAGGGCTGCATCTTATGAGCTATTCATGACTTGGCATTTTCAAATTTATCTTGCTTTCTACCTGTTTTGATGCAAATACTAAATTTTTGTCTCTTGCTATCAATACAAACACACACACACACACACACGCTTATTTGGCTCCTTCACTTCTTGATGGTAAAGTACACGCACATGTGGTCAGGGAGGACATGGCTTTTATTTCCCTCCCCCTTCCCTGCTTTTATTCCTGCCTTTCATTTCTGTCTCCTTTCATTCTCCCTTTATTCCTTCCTTTGTTCTTTTTCTGTTTGTATGGTACAAATGAAAGTAATTTTAAAAAACAAGTGGAAGCTTTCAAGACCTACATGTTACAGTATATATTTATATATTTGAATATCAGATAGTTTCCTTATATAACTGTTTTCTTTAATCATCCACTTATCAAGCACACATCAACTGTTTACCAAACCTCACAACACCAATGACTTAACTGAATAAAAGTCTATTTCATTTCCATACTACAGTCCAAAAGAGTAAGAAGTTGTACCCATGGTGTGGGTATTGGGGAGGGTTGTGGAATAAAGATTGTGGAACTTCTACATCTGATTAGCAAATAAGGGAAAATAAAAGCATGGAGGATGGTATAGGATGTTTTCAGGGTCTGGGACATGAATGAAAGGCATTCGTTGCCAAGAAATTACCAGAATTCCCATAAAGCCTAATGGAGGCTAGGAGTTGAAATCTAGCTCTCTTCTCAGGAAGCAAAGACAACTGGGTTTGATGAGCCATGTTGTGTCTCCCCTAGCACTACTGAAGAGTCATGATGATAGGTACAACTTGGACCAACAATATCTTAAAAACTAAATCACTTAAATGCACAAAAGGTATAATTTCACACACATCACCTCCTCTCAAAACCTCCTGTACTCTAGGAACTAAAGAAGGGGAGAGAACAATTCTTTTCAGCCTTGCATCTTAGCCAGTATAACTAAAGATAACTTTAGAAATCTGATATATCCATATAACTTATTTTTTTTAAAAATTTGATGTGAATCTTGGTAAAAAGAGCTAATGATTAAAGAGAACAAACTTTATTATTCTCTACTTCTCTGCATTTTCCACTTCAGTCCAGATGAACACGGTGTGAACATTGTTATGGTGCTCATGTTTCAATACCCATCTACGAGTAGTGCCGAGAGAATCAAGAAAAAAATTGAAAAAATTCTATATCAAAGTCTGAAGACAAAACAGTTGCCTTTGACTATAAACAAATCATCATTTACACTCACATGTAAGTTCTTTTATCATCTTTGTGGGTCCATCACAATCCTCCCTATTTTTAATAAAAATTTAGATCAAATTTAGATCAATGTATTCTCCCACTTAAGAATTTAATGTGTCAGTATGTGCATATATTTATGTGTGTGGAATAAAGCTATAAAAATTTAAGATATAACATTTAGATAGTATAGTCTAGCTGTAATGGTCAAGTTAAATTGCAATTCCTGATAATATAATTGTCTGTAATGCATTACCATAAATGGCACAGGATGACTTCATTCATATGTGGAATATAAAGAAACAAAATAGAAACAGATGAAACTAAACCAAAACAAATGCTTTAATTGTAACTATAAATTGAAGCTACTAGATGGATGTGGTAAGGGTGAGAACAAAGGGGCTGGTCAATGATAGAGAATTCTGGGTACTTTTGTGGTGGGTGTTGTATAGTAACATAGATATGAAAAGGTGTGAAATTATTATCCTGCATCATGTACAGTATTGTAAACCAATGATAACGTAATACAAAATTTTAAAATTACGTGTAGGTAAAGGATATTTAACAAGAATTTTTGAAAAATATCTAGTTATTATAAAAGACATGTTACAGTTGTAAAGCTTCTTATAGTTTTCTTAAAATAGTTTTTCAGCCTTTTTGGTCATGTGTACAGAGCTTTACTTACACATGTTGCTTCAATATCAAAATAACTATATTCTGGGACCATATTCAATAATCAAAATTCTACTGCCTGTGTTTCTTTTTGCCACTTGCACCTCTCTCATTAAAGATAAGTGAAATGTCCAGGAAAATTTATGTAGGATTTGTAATTCATCTTCTCTTCTAGGAAAGCCATTGTCACTAAAAAAAATCATCACATAGCTTTCTATTTTTTTCTCTGACAAACAAAAAAATCCAATGAAACAGAGCTTAAACATATACTAATTTTATTTAAAATTTTCATTTTTTACGTTTTTTTTTAAATTTATGCATATAAGAACTGGGGTACAGGCCAGAGATGCAGGGGGTGAGAGGATTCACCACAGAGTGGGGAGCAGAACAGGCAGACTGACTGAAATATACTGTGGAGGGGAGCAGCGGGGCAAGACAGGAAAGGCCTGCCATGTATTTCCACCACCAATTCACCCACACACCATCACCACAGACTTGTGTGCTCATCCTGCTCCTTTCTCAATCCCTCTCCCTCCCCTTCCCCTGCAGGTCTCTGATTTATAGCTGTCTGTTTATTCTTGTTTTGTTTTATTGTGTTTTAATTGCTATTTTCCCCTGATCCTTTATTTGGTTCCCCCATGTTCCCCCAATTAGTGAAAGTATCACATATTTTTCTTTTTCCTTCTGACTTATTTCATTGAGCATAATCCTTTCTAGCTCCATTCATGTTTCTGTGAATGGCTTGATTACTGAATAGTATTCCACTGACATGCACTAATTTTAAAGGGAAAAAGATGTTCTAGAGGTGACACATAAAGTGAAAGGAGAAGTTGTGGTCTGTGTAAGAAAGAGCTCATGCCTCAAGGGCCTTTCACATAGTCACCTCGAAGGAGAATCTTCACTCAGAGTAGATCATTAATCTGAATTTACTGAATTCCTACTGTCTGTATACATGTCCCTGAAAACTGGACTGTGAGGAGTCTGTGATGACTGTAGATCCCTATAGTTGACTTCTGAACAACGGCCACTAGACATTTGCCCAACAAACATCTATGGCTACATCTAGTATAGCGAATATCAACTGTGATAGGAATTAAGATTGCTTCCTTTTTGACTTATACTACAGGTCCCAAAGAAATCAATAGGGACATTTATTTACTTTCCCCATTCTTTTCCTAATTCTTGTGTGTGTGTGTGTGTGTGTGTGTGTGTGTGTTTCATAGTAAAAATCAGAAAACAACAAAGTGAGCCTTTTTTACTTTAAAGTAAAATTTTACATTTTGGATGAAATCAGAGTTACAGTATAAATTACTTGACTATAAAATACCATGCTCCCTTGAAATATGGATGTGTTAGATAATAAACATTTTGATCATGATCATTTAAAAATCACATGAAAATAGGAACATGTTCTTCTACCAATTAATTCGTGTTTTGTTTATTCCAGCTATCGACAGCAGAAAGATGAGGAATCTACTCAGCAGCCGTAAGTTTTAAAACCCACAATTAAGTACTTCTTAGTAATGATAATTTAAAAAGCCACAAAAAAAATTTAGCAATAGAACTTACAAGCCTTTCTTTAGCTATGTATTTTTTATTTTTAAACTTTTAAAAAGTATTTATTCATTTTTATTAAGATGAAACATCAGTTTACACCATGGTCTATAATTCAGAGGTACAGGATCTCCCCTTCCGGTGTTTTTCACACCACTCCCAAGCTGGGAGATGCCCAGTTTTCCACCACAGCCCACTGTACTCTTTCCCTCCCTGCTGTGTTCTTTTCCTCCTCCTCGACCTGTCTTTCTGTGGTTTTGTAAGCCAAACTTTTCATGTTTTTATTGTTTAATATTCTTTAAAATTGAATTTATAAATTTATAATAAATACAATTGTAAGATTTATGCTTAATGGAACACAGTAAAAAAAATTAATTACAGATATTCTTGATGTTACCAAATATGTAACTATATTTTTAACACTCTATTTTAACATTCTGTTTAAACATTTCTTTTAATATTCTCTAACAATTCAAGCTAAAGTTTTAAAAT